AGGCCACCACTGGGCCCTGTTGTACGGGGGTAGTGCTGACACCAGGGGCAGAGATGGGGCTCCTGGCGCTCCATGGAGCTCCAGCTCGACTCCGGTCGGACACTGGCTCAGGAGGGTGCATGGGTGGGCTTGTAATTGTGGGGCCTTCTGTAGGAGCTGAGAGGCCATGGTTTGCTCAGTGGGGCCCATCCTGACATGTGTATCTGGGGAGAACAAATGAGAGGAGAAGGCTGGGGTTTCCTTCTCTTGCTCCTCCCTGCGTGTCCCCATCCCTCTGATGAGAAACGGTCCCTGGGGAATGAGCATCCCTGTGGCTCACAGACTGGCTTCTCCCCAGCAGTGTCTGATGTTCCCAGGGTTGGAAGCTGGGTTCTTCCCCTTTCTTGGTTGAAGGGAGGAAGAGGCGGGTGGCAGCGGTGGTGGAGGGTGTCTTAGTCGGGCTGTTACAGAATAGCTTAGCCTCTTAGGAGTTACTTTCTGGCTCACTACTGGGTAGGGGAAGGGAAGTGAGGAAGGAGTTAAAGAGAGGGGTGTGCAGGCACCAAGGAGCAAGGTAGGACCCAGGAGATGGCCTCTGCCTCGGTTCCCAGCATCTGCCGCCTTTGGCTTTTGCGTTCTTATGGGTCTTGTGCTCTGATTTCAGTATCCAGTATGAAATCACTGCATAATTTTTTTTTTTTTTTTTTTTACTGCAGTGATTTTGTATAGCATAGAAAAATTACTCCCAAGCTTAGTGATTTAAAATAAATACAGATGGGCCAGGTGTGGTGGCTCACGCCCGTAATCCCAGCACTTTGGGAGGCTGAGGCGAGCAGATCACGAGGTCAGGAATTCAAGACCAGCCTGACCAACATGGTGAAACCCCGTCTCTACGAAAAATACAAAAATTAGCTGGGCGTGGTGGCGTGTGCTGTAGTTCCAACTACTTAGGAGGCTGAGGCACGAGAATTGCTTGAACCTGGGAAGCAGAGGTTGCAGTGAGCTGAGATCATGCCACTGCACTCCAGACTGGGTGACAGAGAGAGACTTTGTCTCAAAAAAAAAAACCCACCATACATACATACATGCATGCATACATACATACATACATACATACATACAGGCTGGGTACCATGGCTTACTCTTGTAATCCTAAGACTTTTGGAAGCCCAGGCAGGAGGATCATTTGAGCTCAGGAGTTTGAGACCAGCCTGGGCAAATAGCAAAACGCCCTCTCTACAAAATATGCAAAAATTAGCCAGGCATGGTGGCATATGCCTGTAGTCCCAGCTGCTTGGGAGACTGAGGTGGGAGGGTCACTTGAGCCTGGTAGGTGGAGATTGCAGTAAACTGAGATCAGGACACTGCACTCCAGCCTTGGGGGCAGAGTAGGGCAAGATCATGTCTCAAAAAAAGAAAAAAAAAATACAAAACTATTATTCCACACGGCTTCCATGGCTCAGGAATTCATGAGTGACTTGGCTGGGTGGTTCTGGCTCAGAGTGTCTTATGAAGGTGCAGTCAAGATGTCACTGGGGCCATATTCATCTGAAGGCCTGACTGGGGCTGGAGGAGCCACTTCCCACATGGCTCACTTAATGCTGTCAAGCTGGGGCTGGCTGTTGGCAGGAGGTGTCAGCCCCTCACCACATGGCCCTCTCCGTAGGGCTGCTTGGGAGTCTGATCACATGGTCACTGGCTTCCCCCAGAGTGAGTGATCCAAGACAAGGCTGAAGTCAAAGTGTCTTTTATAGCTTAGCCTCAGAAGTCGAACCAACACTGTCATTTCTCTAGTATCTGATTGATTACATAAATCAGCCCTATTTCATGTGGGAGGGGACTCCAGAAGGGCATGAGTAGCAGAGGCAAGAAACACTGGCAGCTACCTGAGAGGCTGGCCACCACAGTTTCCTTTTCTGTAGTACATGGAATATTTCATCATTCTGAGAGTGAGAGGCCAGCAGATTGGCAGGCCCAAACTTGAGATGACAGCAGACGCGATGCAAGTTGGGAGGACATTCTGCCCCTTGGGAGGAGGTGCGAGAAAGGTGGCCAGGCGTGCAAAGGGGGCTTCCCTGGAGGAGACTCAGCAAGTGGGCCTCCTTGGGGTTGGAGGCGGATACTTCTACAGATGTCAAAATCCATTCATGGGGGCTTGGCCAAGCCTGTCCTGCTTGGCATCTGCCACTTGCTTTCGGTTTGCTAAGCTTTTGTCTTCTGGGCTGGGAGCTGGGGTGGGGGTGGTCTTCCTTCGCTCCCCTTTGTAGAGCTGCCAAGGACAAGCTTTCTGCATTCCAGTGTGCAGGAAGCACTCGGCATAGCATACTGCAATTGCCTGATGATTTCTCCACTTGCCCCCCACTTGAGGGCATTTGCTGAGTGTCTGCCCACTGTGTGACAGGCAGGTCTGCCTTGTATGGTCATGTAGGCCAAGTGCTGCCAAGGGTGCCTACCTGAGAGAGCATAGGAGTCAGCCCACCCTTTGCCTACCAAGCCAGGCATCTTGGCACAGGGCTGATCTGCTTGGAGAAAGGGCACCTTCTCACCATTTCCACAAAGACACTGCATGAGCTCAACTTACTATGCATGAGCTGTGTGTCCATCAGGCTGGTCTCCCAGAGGATGGCCTCAACCTTCTAGCATGCACGAAGATGCTGTGTGGTCTCGTGGGCCTGAAGGAGACACTGTCCTAGCTGCTGGGGGTCTGGGGTGAAAGAGACAGACATGCTCCCTGCCCTCCTGAGTGCAGTATGGGGAGATAGACTAGAGAGAAGCTACCCAGGGCGACTTCAGAAGGTAACCAGTAAATAACCGGGGTGCTGAGAAAGAATAATTGGAAAATGACTCCAATTTAAGTGGTCAGGGGAGACCTCTTTGAGGAGATGACTTTGGGTGGATTCCCAAGGGATAAGAGGGATTCAGCCCAGGGAACGATGGAGTGCTGGGGTGAGGGGAAGTGTTCCAGGCAGCTGACACAGCTAGTGCCAAGGCCCTGAGGCACTCTGGGAAGTGTCAGAGTGTGGAGCCTGGTGGAGGGAGGTGGCGTCCCGGCCCCCATTGTGTCCCTCATGTCTAGACTGGGGTTGGAGGCCGAAAGTGGTTGCTTAGGGATGATGCTTTTTTGGTTGAACATGAGATGTTGAGGTGGGTTCTACAGCTCAGGAACGATCTGAGAGTTGGGGGGACACAACTAAATGGGGTGCACGTAAACCCCAGGGGAGGTCTTCAGACAGATCCAACTCAGCAAACATTTATTAAGCCTCTCCTGTGTACCTCTCTCTCTCTCTTTCTCTCTCTCTCTCTCTCTCTCTCTCTGTGTGTGTGTGTGTGTGTGTATGAGAGAGAGAGAAGAAAGAGAGAGGCAGGTCCCCTACTGGAAGGAGCATACCCTGTCAGACCAAAAAAGGGGAAGTTTCCTCTATTCGGATGGGGTGGGGTGGGGAGGCTGCTGGTGTCCAAAAGGGGACAATTTTGGGAAGGGAGGGAGTTGCTCCCCTGGCTGTTGGGAGTGCTGAGGGACAGGGAGGAGCAGAAGGTTCCGAGAGATGGGTAACTCTGGCGTGGCTGAGCAGGGAATATGTCCTACTGTGGCCAGGGCGGAGATGTCCCTGAGCTGGGCTGGGTGGCTGGTGGGGTCAGGAAAGCCTTGCTCAGTACTGGTGAGTCACAGGCCGGGGCTGGGCCAGACTAGGTTCTGAGAGACGAAGATCCCATGCTGGGGTCAGTGGTCAAGGTCCCTTTTCAGGCACCACCCGTGTGCCTCCCAGCTTCTCCCCCTTCCCCGTTCCCAGCCCCTTCTGCCTCAGACAAACCAAAAGTCTTAGTGTGGGGAACCTGGAGCCTCTTTGGGGTGCTCCAGGCCTTCATCTGTGCCTCAACCTCCCTTTCTGCACTCTGCTGAGAATCGGGTTGGTTCAAAGCTGGAAGGAGGTGGAGGGTAGTAGATCCAGGAGAAGGGGGCGGATGGCTGTGGCTCTGGGCTGTGGCTGTAGAGGATTTGAAGTCAGGGCACTCCCCTACCTCCCTCTCCCCAGTTCTCTAACCTGAGTTCCCAACCCCCCAGCCTTAGCAGGTCCTGGGCAGCCAACAAGACCCAAAGCCGTGCAAACAGCTCAGGAGACCCCTCACCCACTCATGAGATCTGTGGGGAGGTCACCAAATCCCTTGGTGGAGTCCCAGAGCCCTGGGGGGTGGGGCGGCAGGGCTGGTGACATTCCAGGCTTTGGGAACCTGACAGGAAATTTGATTCCAGCTTCTGGTAATGGGAGGAAGAGCAAGTCCTGTGTGTGTGTGTGTGTGTGTGTGTGTGTGTGCGCTTCAAGTCATGCACAAGAAGTTTGTGTAAGCATCTGTTCACGCGTCTGTGTCCACAAATTTCTGTCAGGCTGTATCTGAGGGTGTCCCACAGAATTGTGCGTGTTGGTGCCCCGGGTCAGGGGTCTTCGTGGATGAATCTGTGTGAGGCTCTGTGTGTGCCCGAGGATGGCTGTGTGGATGGGTGGGAGTGGTTCTGGGTGAGTGTGTGTGGGTGTAATGTGTATGTGCTGGGCTCTCTCCTGGACTCTGAATTGGGTCTGTGTGTCTCTGTCTCTGGGGCACAGTAAGTGTGATTGTGGTTTTCGATGTCGTCTGCCTGCCTGGTGTGTGTGTAAAGGGAGAAGGCCCCCCTTATTCCTTGGTGCGGCTGGCATGGGCCCTGGGTCCGGGCTACCTCTGCCCCTGGCAGGGGTCCAGTGGGCAACCCCCCTGCTCCCCCCACCATCCCGCACCCGGAGGGGCTCGTGCTGGGGGCCCGGCGCCTCCCTGGCCGCGGGTCCGCAGTCCCGGACGCTCCCACCCCCCAGGCCCAGCAGCCGCTCCCCTCTGTCCCCTCCCTCTCTCCCTCTCTCCTTCCCTCCGTCCCTCCTTCCCTCCTTCCCTCACGAGCGCGGATTGCGGGCTGGGGTGGGAGGAGATTTCGCGGAGTTTCCATTTCATACCTCGCGGCTAAAACTTTCTTTCTGTGTCTCGCCCTCTTGCAGTCTGCAGCTTCTCCTGTCATCGGAAATGCCAGGCCAAGGTAAGGGGCTGCGGGCTGGCGGGCCCGGGAGGACTTGGGACAGGCCTGGCTCGGGGTCCGGGACTGGAGCGGGGGCGCCGGCGGGACGGGGGCGGTGCCCGGGGCGTCCCTCCTCCTCGCTTTGTTTATGCAAAGCGCCTGGGCCTGGGAGCGGGCGCAGGTCAAGGTGAAGGCGAAGGCCTGGGGGCGGGGGCGAGGGCGGGGGCGGGGGCGCGGCGGGCTGGGGAGTGCGGGAATACGGGTTGGGAGCGCAGCGGGCGATCTGGGCGGTCACTGGGGGTGGCTGGTGCGGACCGAGCTCCGAGGGAGCGGCCTTTGAAGGTGTTTCTGCTAGTTCTCAAGGGCTAGAGGGGAAGGGGGAGGGGATCCATTTCAATTACCCCGGGCTGCCCAGAGCCCCACTTGGCCCAATTCGGCCAACCTGGAAAACCTGTGTCCACAGCAACGGGACCCTGAGGTCGAGAGAAGTGGGTGGTGGAGTAAGTGGAGAATGAGATCGGAGGTCAGGATCGGCTGGTCTGAAACCCTCTGAGACTGTGCCTCCCTCTTGATTGGCCAGATCTCCTTTTGGTCCTCAGTTTCCCCATGAGTATTTCCAGGCTGGGCCTGGTGGGAGAGGGAAACTGAGTCAAGAAGACCGGAGGGATTGCTGGGCCCTAGTTGGCCAGGCTGGCTCAGCCCTGATGTATCCTGTGAGGTTTGAACCCAGTGGTCATATATCAGCTTCTTGGAATAACAGGGGGTGAGGGATTGACACCAAGACGGATTATGAGTTTGGGAAGGAAATGGTTCTGTCCAATGGCTCCAGCTCTGCCTGGGGGTGGAAGCCGCGTTCCTTGCCTCTCACTTGTGGCCAATGTCTGCACCTTCTCCCATTGTTGCTTGTAACCCTCCCTGCCTGTTCACCCCCTACATTTGCTCTTCACACTTGACCTTTCAAGAAATTCAGGTAGTAGAAGGAGAAGATGCTTCCAAAAGGAGCATTCATTCAGCAGTTGAGGATCCGTATCTGGTGCATCCTGGGCTTTGCACTTATTAGCTGGTGGCCTTGGGCAAGTTATGTACCTTTCTGAGCCTCTGCTTCATCCGCAAGGATATGGGAATAAGCCTCCCTCATTAAGTTGTTATGAGGATTCAATGAGCTAATGTGTGTGAAGTGCCCCGCCCAGCGCCTGGCACAGGGTACGTGCTCAAAAGTGTTGTGATTGATGCTCAGTTAGTTACTGGGAGCTTGGAGGTCCAAGTGTTACCTTGGGGGAAGGGGCACTGATGGGTCAGGCAGGTCTGGGAAGACTCTTCCTCCAAAGAGCCTTTACTTAAGCCAAGCATACACCTTGCTGGAGGGCATCTCCATCTGTAGACTCCAGCTTGGAACGCTCCCCTTGCAGAGGTGCTGAGGACCTGGCTTGCAGCAGGTACGTCCCTGCAGAGTTTTCTGCCTTTGCTTGTCTTCTGCTTTCCTGGGGCCACCCTCAGCCTTTTCTTTCCTGGATGGGGAAAGTAAGTTTCTGCTTCTCCTTCCACCTCTCTCCTTGTTCTGTTTATCCAGAGCAGAGTTGGTTTTTTTTTTTTTTTTTTTTTTTTTTTTTTTTTTTTTTTTTTTCCTGCTTTAAACTCCAGAACTTTCCGATTTTCTTGCTTCTCTCCAGTCTACCCCTTCCTACTGTCCTTCCTGCAACCTTCTCTCTTAATAGCAATGAACATTTGTACAGTGCTTTGGGTCTTAGACAATATTTTACATGCATTATCAGACTTTGTTCTTTTAATTCCTTTAGAGCATAAAACATTGGCTGAAAGGTCCTGTTGTTTTACAGATGAGGAAACGGAGGTGCCCCAGGTTGAGTGACCTCAGGGTTTCCTAGTGGAATTCTTCACCTGTTCTCTGTCCCTGGGCCCTTGTGCTTCCTTCTCTTCGTCCTTCACGGCCTACTGCCATACATTTCCCCATCCTTGCCTGCCCTTCCTCCTCTTGATTTCCATCTCTTGACAGCAGCAGGATACATTTAGGGATAATAAGGGGATGAACTTTCAGGCAGTGAAGGGTCTGAATAGGGGAGATGGGTGGCCCAGAGAGGCCCAGAAAGATATACAGATGGCTCCTTGTCACGCAGCAGCCTTGTGCATGGGAACAGGCAGATGCCAAAGACGACGTTTTGGGGGCATAGCCCACCTGAGGGGTCTTACCTATGCTGGGGGCTCAGAATGTACGAGGCTGCAGCAGTCCTGCTCTGCGCTCCCCAGGAGGCCAGCTAAGTGGGGGAGAGGGTAGACTCGCAGGGCAGCAACCAGACAGACAGATGGGCTTTGTATAGGAGTTTCCTCTACAGGGAATGGGACCACCTGGTGGTGAGTGCTCCACCCAGCTGGTGGGTCTTTCCCTAAAACCGCAGCTCTTACTGCTGCCCTGCCTTTTCCTCCTGCTGGGAAGGGCAGCAGGAGCCAGAGCCCCAGAGCCCCAGCAAAGCTCTATACTGTAGATTTTATAGCCTAGCCATCGTGGAGGTCATCTCATCCATCCCCCGCTTCTAGGCAGGATTCATTAATGAATGTTTAGTAAGCTCCTTCCCATGGGCCAGACACCCTTTTAAGTGAACAGAGAGAGAAGGCCTTGGCCCTCATGGGTCTTACATTCTAATAGGGGAGACAGGCACTAAATAGGCAAGCAAGTTTTGAAGGGAATGAGCTGCAGCAATGGGTTAGAGAAGAATTCTGCTAGGGTAGCCCAGGAAGACTTCTTGGAGGAAGAGTCATGTGAGATGGGACCCAGATGATGGTGTGGGGGAGGAGAAAGAGCAGGTGCGAAGGCCCTGAGGTGAGAGGAGCTTGTTACTCTTGAAAGATGGCTGGAGAATAGTGAGTGCTGGTGAGTTTGGGCCTGAGGGACATGATTGGATTTCCACTCTGAGAAGGCCACTCTGGCCTTGAGCAGGCACCAGGGTAGGAGTAGCGACCCGGGCCAAGAGGCTGCTGATGCTGCCCACGTGGTAGAGGCTGGCGGCTTAGTCCACAGCGCTCGCCAGAAAGGCAGTAAGGAGGGGCTGGGCCTGGGATGCCTTCTGAGGGAGAGCCGGAGCCTCACTGAGTAATGGGATGTTGGGCGTGAGAGCGGGAGCCGACTTCAAGATGACTCCCAGGTTTTGGCCAGAGTAATTGGGTGCACGTGGTTTCACTTACTGAGATAGATGAGGTGTGTGAGAAATTTCTAGGAGAGATAGCTCCAGGGTTTCGGCTTTGCTTGGTCTCCGTTTCACAGTCCCATGCACTGGGGGTTTCTTGCTGCTGTTGATCCTCTCCACACTGGGGGTTTCTTGCTGCTGTTGATCCTCTCCAATTCCGCCTGCTCTGGCCACTCCTCCGGTAAGTGGTTGGTTCCTGATGCCTTCACGCACCAGCCTTAGGCTGTTTCTGCAGCATGAAGCGGTGGCTCCGACAGGGGCTGTGTTACGTATATGGAGCCATATGGTATAACAAATGGCCCCCAGACATAGTAGCTTAAAACAGCATCGAACACTGATTATCTCATAATAATAAATGTTTTGGGGGATCAGGATGTTGGGAGTGGGTTAGCTGCCTGGTTCTGGCCAGGGGTCTCTCATGGGGTTGCAGTTGAGATGTTGCCTGGGGCTGCAGTCTTCTCAAGGCCTGACTGGGGCTGGAGGATCATTTTCCAAGGTGGTTCTGTCATGTGGCTATCAAGTTGGGGTTGGCTGTTGGAGGTAGCTTCAGTTTCTTGCCACACGAACCTCTCTGTAGGGCTGCTTGAGTGTTCTTACAACATGGTGGCTAGTTTCCCCAGAGTGAATGAATGATTCAAGACAGAGCAAGGCAGAGCCACAATGTCTTTTATATACTATTCTTGAAAGACACACTGTTATTTCTGCAATATCCTATTGGTTACATAGGTCAGCCCTATTCAGTGTGGGAAGAACCTACGTAAGGGCTTGGATACCAAGAGGCAAGGATCAGTGGGGGCCATGTTGGATGGTGACACTACAGATGCCCAGAGACGGGGCAATGCTGACCTGGCAGCTAGGAGGCCGTGGGAGTGCTGGGAAGGGCAGGGGGGCAGGAATCAGACACTCCTGGGTTTGAACTCTACCTCTGCTGCCTTCCAGATACGTGAGCTGGGTTGCAGAGGATTAAATCCACATTGGCATAGAGTAGGCACCTTTCTCCTTTCTTGGAATGATAGTCACAGCCTGGAAAGGATCCCAGATATTCTGTGCCCTGCTCTCTGCCACTTGGACCTGCTTGAGAGAAAATGATCCTGCTGGTAGAGGTGAAGCCTCAGTGCCGGCTCATGGTCAGTGTTATCTCTGTGTTGATTGCCCACTAGAAGGTTGAGAGCTAGGTTCCACCCCAGCTTCTAGAATAGTACCTAGTCCATACCAGGAGTTCCAATAAAGGGATAAAAGGGTGGAATAAAGGAATATTGAGAAAGAAGTCCTTTCTATCTGGGGAAGAGGCTGAGGGGTTGGATAAAAGCAGGAGAGAAGTAGCAGCAAAATCACTCTAAAATCCCTCCCAAAAGCCCTTCCTACTTCCTGATACACAGGGTGCTCCAAATAATAATTCTAGTCACATTCCTTTTTCTAACTGGGGTATAATTCACACTGTCAAGTACATAAAACTCAAATGTACATCCTGATAGCTTTGTACGTACATGAGAACCAGGTCATGATCTAGAACATTCCCAGCAGCCAAAAAGCAACCCTTATGTTCCCCTTCAATATCCCCCAAAAGTAATTGCTATCTTTACTTGTATTATCAGAGATTAGTTTTGCCTGCTCTTGGATATCATAAAAATGGAATCACATAGTGTGTTTGCTTTTGTGTTTGGTGCATTTCACTCAGCATCATGTCTGGGAGGTTCACCATGTTCTTGTGGGTTGCAGGGGCTCATTCTTTTTAATTGCTATGTTGTATTCCATTATGTGAAGAAACCACAATGTATTTATCCATTCCACCGTTGATTGCCATTTGGGTTCTTTCCAGTTTGG